AGATAAGACATGTTTAAAAATGTCAAGCGAGGAAATAAAAAATGACTTAACTTATAATGAATTGAGTTCATGGAAGTGCATATTTTGAGTTTACATGAAAGAATGAGAGCTGTGAACATGAACCCCGATTTTGACAAATAATGATGCATGGGGTAGTTACATAATCTACTGTCAACTTGAGGAAGGGGTAGAGTCTAGCCTGCCAATCAGGTCACAGCTTGATGACCTCATTTGGAGGTGTGACAGAAATAAAGAGCTCAATGGGGGCCAGACACATTCTCTCTGCTACACACTCCTGTTGACAAGTCACACTGATGGAACCACAGCACTGGAGCTGGAGGAGCCACACGAAGACCCACACCAGCACTGAGATGCTCCACCACAACCGGATCCACAAGAATTTCCACCTACTGGCCTCTGATCTTCCTAGATTTGGCATCATTGCACATGCTGCATGAGTCTGAAGAGGAATGTATAGACTGGTGTCAGACATATGGGTTAATATCGGACTTATAGACTTGGCCTGAACTGAGCTAGGATGTTTTCTCAACATACAATTACTCTTTGATATAAAGCTCTCTCTTATACACATATGCATGTCTCTGAATTTGTTTCTCTACTCAACCTAGACTAACACAATTCATATCAAAATCCAAATGTAAAAAAATAAATAAATCATTATGGTTATTTTTGCATTGCTCAAGAATTTACTTCACAGCAATGTCCCCTCCCCGTGTTTTTTAAGATAATACTAACCCCCACCCCCCACTCCCACTGTGAATTAATTCTTTGTAATCATTGTGTGTTCATAGAGGAAACATTGGAGTGATGGACTACAGAGAGACATAAAAGTAGATATTACTTTTGCTAAAACACACCATTTGTTGTTGTGTTTGTTGGATGTGGCCCAGTCTGTTCTGACTCATAGCAACCCTGTGTATAGCAGTGTGGTAGTTACATAATTAGGTGTCAATTTGAGGATTAAGAGTGTACTGGTGGAGTGTAGGCTGTCAAACAAGATATAGCCAATGAGGTCTCTGTGTGGCATGACCTTCCCCCTAAGAATTCTGGGAATTCCTATATTTCCTCCTTGGAAGCAGAAGACACTTCTCTCTCTCTGCTCACTTCCTGGGAGATGCTCTACTGACAAGACACATGGCACTACACCCTGGGAAATAGAGAAGCCACATGGACCTACCCTGATGCAACCAGACCTCGGGAGCTGGAGAAGCCATGTAGAGACCCTGCCAGCGCTGAGATGCTTACAATGCCACTGAATCTCCAAGACCTCCCATCCACTGGCCTGTGATCTTCCTGCATTCGACATTATCGCATGTGTCTATGAGTCTGAAGAGGACTTATAGATTGGTATCAGACATATGGGCTAATATTGGACTTATGACTTAATCTGGACTGGGCTGGGAGATTTTCTCAATATTCAATTGCTCTTGTATATAGACCATTCTCTTGTACACATATGAGTGTCTATGAATTTGTTTCTCTAGTCTACCCAGACTAACACAAACAGCATGAATCACGGCCTGGTCTAGTGCCATGCTCAGAGTTGTTCTTATATTCAAGTCCATTGTTGCAGCCACTCTGTCCATCTATCTTGTGGAGGGCCTTCCTCTTTCTCTCTGCCCCTCTACTTTACCAAATGCGAGGTCTTTCTCCAGGGACAGGTCCCTATGACAACATGTCCAAAGTACATGAGATAAAGTTTCTCTATCCTTTGTCCTTAAGGATCACTCTGGCTGTACTTCTTCCAAGACAGATCCGTTTGTTCTTCTGGCAGCCCAGAGAGCGTCCGATGCTCTTCACCAGCACCGCAATTCACGTGCTTCAATTCTTCTTCTGTCTTCCTTAGTCAATATCCAACTTTCACATGCGCAGGAGGGGATTGAGAGTATCAGGGCTTGAGTCAGGCACACGTTATCCTCACAGTAACATCCTTGGTTTTCAATACTTTAAGGAGGTTTTGTACTAAACACAATGTGCCATTTAATGGCACAGCTGCTTCTTTCATGAGCATTGATTGTGGATCCGAGCAAGAAAACCAAACCAGAAGTTAGCAAACCCAAAGGGAAGAGCACGCTCGGTGGACCTTCAACGGAAAGAACTCAAGACCGCATATGCCAGCCCTGAGTTGAAATGTGGAAAGCCCTATGGGCAAAACGCTGAGCAATGCAGGAAGCACCAAGAGAAGATGGGAACAAAACACAGAGTCATCATACTAAAATAATTTAATTGACATTTCAAGAGTTAGCAGATGAGCAAGAACTAGTGGTATTGAAGGAAGGAATTCAAATTTCACTGAAAGTATTAGGCCAAATAAGGCTCCGGGAATTGATGGAATATTCATGAAAATGTTTCATTCAACGGATGAAGCACTGGAAGCACTGGCCCACTGAGTTAGTTAATTGTGCCAGCCTGGCCGATAGTCAAATGTGGGGCTAATTGAAAGGCGGAGGGATAAATGGGTGGTGAGCCTCACCTTTCTAGTTCTCGGGTCTCTTGCTTTGTGATGGTCGCACCAGGGTGCAGCTGCCTTAGCAGTTCCCTGCTTCGGCTTGCAACATTGACTTCCTACAAGACATCCCCCAGGAGAAGCCACATGGACCTATCCTGATGCAGCCCTGGGTGCTGGAGCAGCCATGTGGAGACCCCTGCTAGTGCAGAGATGCTTGTTCGTTCACTGACTCAGCTTTCCTCCTGCAGTCGGCATCATTGCCTCTGTTTTGTGAGGTGGAGGACTTTGTGGACTGGTGTTGGGTTAATGGGTTAATGTTGGACTTGTGGGCTTGGGCAGCATTGGGTTGGGATGTTTTTGTGATGCACATTTTCTTTACATAAAACTCTCTCTTATACATGGGTTGCTGTGGATTTGTTTCTCTAAAGTACCAAGACTAATACACCCACTTAGGCTAGATCACTTGTAAGACAGCTACTTGAACAACTGAGTGGACGAGAGCTGTGTTTTTACCCATTCCAAAGAAAGACGACCAACAGAATGCTCAAATTATAGAATAATATTCCTTTTACAACCAAGTAAAATTTTGGTTGCTGCAATATATTGACAGGGCAGCCAGAGGTTCAGGCTGGATTCAGAAGAGAATGTAGAAAGAGGGATATCATTGCTGATGTCACACGAATCTTGGCTGAGAGTAGAGAATACCAGGAAGGGGTTTCTGTTTTATTGACTACGCCGAACCATTTGACTATGTGGATCATAACAAACTAAAGGCCATCATTCACCTATCATTTTGCTGTGCTGTGGTGACTAGTGTGGTGCTGTGACACCAAATCTTCTGACACCCATATTTCACTCTCACTTGCTGAAACCAAAAAGTAAATGGGACTTGGAACGTTTAGTGATGAAGATCAAAAGTCATAGCTTGCAGTTAGAATTGCCTCTCAATGTCAAGAAAACAGAAAAGTATTACAACTGGACTAATAATAACCATTATAAATAGAGAAAACATTAAAGTTGTCATGGAGTCCACTGTACTTGGATGTAAAATCAATGCCATCGGCAGCAGTACTCAAGAAATCAAATAAAGTACTTCACTTAGAAAATCCACTACACAATCCCTTTAAAATGTTAAAAGGCCATGATTTAGCTTTGAGGACCAAGGTGTGCTGTTGGTATTTTTAAGTGCCCACAAGCATGCAAAAGGTGGACAATTAATAAGGGAAACTAAACAGGAATTTAGATCACAAATTATCGTGTTGGTGAAGAACATGCAATATACCATGGTCTTCCAGAAGAATGAGCAAATTGGTCTTGGAAGACATACAACCAGATAATAATTAGAGAAGATGGGGAAACATTATTTCATATACTTTGAGCATGTTATCAAAAGGTGTCAATTCCCGGAGGAGGATATATCATGATTGAGAACCAGTTTGTATTGTCGCAGTGGCTGCAACAATGGGCTCAAACATAGCAATGAAGATGACGCATGGCCAGGCACTGCTTCACTGTGTCGTGCACAGGGTCACTCAGAGTGCGAACGCACTGAAGAGCACTGTACAGTCGTACCCTCATGAGAAGTAGGCAGATGACGCAGTGGTTAAAGCATTCTGTCGCTAGTCCGAACATCTGTCCTTTCAAGCCACAAGCGCCTCTGCTGAAGAACGATGTGCCTGTTTGCATTCCTAAAGATTCACAGCATCAGAAACCAGCGGGCACAGTTTTCCCTCTGGCCTACAGGGTGGCCATGAGTCTGAATCAACTTAAAGCTGATGGGTTTTGTTGTTGTTGTTCTATTTCGTTAATGTGCTAATTATTTCAACAGCCTTTTCCAACGACATTCAGCTAATTCCCAATAACCCACGCACAATTTCTAAAAGAAGATGAAGTATTTCAACAGGTTTAGACACACACACACACACACACACACACACACACAAAACAGTTTCCTGCAATGTAATGCTGAAAAAAGATGAAAAGAATTGAAATCCAACAGATGGATGAACACAGACTTAATTAAGGTTAATCATACTTGTGTGATACTCCTTGGGAACAAGACATCCAACTTTCTCTCTCTCTCTCTCGTATCTTTTTATACAGGCAAACTATTGACAAACTTTGGTGACCTGATCTGCAAGACTCACATTAATACCGAGCACGTGGAATACATTTTCCCTTGGGCAAGGAGAAAGACTCTATTGCACATGTCATCTGTTTCTCTGAATACTGAAGATTACAATTATGTTTTGATGTTAATCCAAGTACTGCATATTTCTTGTTGCAAGGCACAAAGTGAGAATGTGAGTGACAGTATAAATCTTTTTAAATTGAATTCAACACTATTGAAAAGAGCTGATGTTTTCAAATATGCTACAAAGCTTCTCTACAAGAATAGCTCTCAAAACGAAGCCACTTTCTATACAGTACCTCTTTGAGAGGGAAGTTGAGGACCCTGGATAAGACCTACTTATGCAAATATGCTATCTTTTGTACAGGTGAGTGTATGCTGCATTTTTAGAAATATCACCTCTAATGCGTTGATGTCCTCATACACGAACTGCAGGGCTGGAACTCCAAGGTGGTTGATGAAATAATCAGCATCCCCTTGTATTTGCACAGAGCTGACATTGGTATTGCGGCACTGAGCTCGTCCGGTGCAGTTGAAATGCTTTTTCTGGAAAACATATTTTAAATTGTTAATACATGCTACAATGCTAGAGTAATTTATAAATCAATGTTACTGAGAGTGAAATTCACAGAACAGAGCATCACAGAACAGAGCATTGTTCAAGATCAAAAACATTCTTTACTTCAAGGATGGGGTACAAACACTGTGTTATCATCACTACTAGGACCTTTTGGATGATTTGGATGCACTCTTAAAATTCACATGCTCTAAGCCAAATAAGATCTGATGAATGTTATTGTTTCCAAAGCATTTTGTCACCTATTTATTTTGAAATTTTTAACAATTCTTTATTTTGAATCCTTCTCAATATTGGTTTTCTAAAATGTTTTAGGTCTGTGTTTCTCAAAAACATTTAAAGGAAGACGTGGTAGGATATAATTCTAATCTTACTAAATTGTTTATGAACACTTCTGAAGAAACTTTCTGCAATTTATCTTACAAGCACATTCCCAGATATTGCACAAATAAATGCCAAGTGTGGTGATCCATACAGAACCATGTAGTTAAGGAAAAATTTGGAGAAATAAAAATCATAAACAAATATTTCTTATATTAATAGATATATAGCATGAGGAACAAATGCAAAACATAAAAAGTAAAGTCTAAAACAAGCTAAAGGAGACTTATAAATATTAATTCAATGATTTTTTTATTAAAAATATATATAAAACCTCTGAGAGAGTTGCCTCTAATATTCAATGTGAAATCATCCCCATTTCTTGGGTAATAATTCTAAGGAAGGTGAAGTGGGAAGAGTGAAAACTTTACAAGTAATATCATACAAAATGTGGATACTCAGAACCATTTTTGTCATTGAGCCAAGCCACGATACAATCATCCTCTCATGCTTCTTTGGCACGTGATAACTTTAAAAAACATTTATAGAGGCCTAATGAGAGGGGAATAGAACTATGTACTCATATCTATATGTTAAGAATTATGGCTGCAGATGGACATTGGGTCTCAACTCAAGTACTCCCCTAACACAAGAACACCTGTTTCTAACAATCTGGCATTCTGTGATGCTCACCTTTCCAAAACAATCACAGAAGACAAAATGGATGCATAAGCAAATGTGGTGAAGAAAGTTGATGGTGCCCAGCTATCAAAAGATATAGTGTCTGGGGATCTTAAAGGCTTGAAGATAAACAAGCAGCCTTCTAGCTCAGAAGCAACAAAGGCCACATGGAAGTAAGCACACCAGCTTGTGTGATCATGAGGTGTCGATGGGATCAGGTATAAGGCATCTAAGACCCAGAATAAAACCATACCCAATGCAAATGGGGGGGGGAGGGGCATGGAGTGGAGACCCAATGCCCATCTGTAGAAAATTGAACATCCTCTCACAGAAAGGTCACAGGGAAGAGATGAGCCAGTCAGAGTGCAGTAAAGCACCGATGAAACACACAACTTTCCTCTAGCTCTTTGGTGCTTCCTTCACCCCACTATTCTACCTTACAAATCAGATTAGACCAGAGCATGCACACTGCTACAGATAAGAACCTGCAACATGGGGAATCCAGGATAGTTAAATCCCTCAGGGTCAGCAAGGAGAGTAGAGATACCAGGAGGATTAGGGGATGGTGGGGGGATAAAGGGGGGAAAGATCACAAGGATCAACTTAGATCCCATGGGGATGAATAACGTAAAAGTGGATGAGTGGTGGTGGAGGACAATGTAAGATATGGAAAAAATAATCTATAACTTATCAAGGTTTCAAGAGAAAGGGTGGGTTGGAGAGGGAGGGGGAAGAAATGAGGAGCTGACGTCAGAGGGAAGAGAATGCTTTGAAAATGATGATGGAGGTATATGTGCAAATGTACTTGACATATTGGAGGAATGTATGGATTGTCATAAGAGATGTAAGAGCTTCCAATAAAAGTCTTTAAAAAAAAGCATTTTCAAGTATGTTGTTATTAGCCATATATTCAATCCTAACTTGTGACCACGTGCTCAGAGTCGACTTTCACCCTAAGATTTTCAAGGTCGTGACCTTTTGGAAACAAATCACCAAGCCTTACTCTGAAGACTTCTTTGATTGGGTTTGAACTAGGCCAATTCTCTGTGGCAGCCAGGGACTTCACCTTTTAAATATAACCTATCAAAAATACTTGAAGAATTATCAATCTACTATTTATGAATCAGACCAAAGTATTCAGCCATTGAAACCCCTATAGTGGAAAAAGGAAATTATAAATTCCCAAGGAGCACAGTTCTGTCTACTCTGACATACAATGGTTGCCTTGAGTTGGCATCTACTGGAGGGTAAGTAGAGTGTCTGATTTTTAAATATTAAGAAAAGAAATGATCCCAACTTTGCAATCCAAACATATAGTAATATTTCATTTCCTATTCAATTTTCTTTGTGTATCTAGTAGAAAGATTTTAGCAACAAAGTTAAAATCATTTAAAATGGAAAGTCAGGGTTAATGCTTATAAACAAGAAAGCTAATAGGTTAATGTTATTTCAAATTTCGTGGGATATTTATATATTAGCAATAGAAATGAAGAGTCTTTTATATGGCGCATAATCACTAGACACGCAAGGTTATCTTGTTTGTTTGTTTCTTTTTTATAGTCACTCAAACCAGCTTGCTTCTTTTCAAGGTTTCACTCTCTGAGAAGGGAGTTGCTCCTCTTTAAGTCTTTGAGAAAGTCTTCAGAACTCATCTCTTCAGTCCACAGGATGTAATCTTTCCTGGCTCTATTTGCAACCTATCTCCAAATGTGGCCCGTGACAAAGAGAGGAAGCAGGTGAGCCCCAAGCCTAAATTTATTTTCTTCTGTTTGTGATTTACCTTCTAAGTCACAGCAGAGTAAAATCGAACAAAAGGAGCCCAATTTGTAGAAAGGGTTATTTTTCACAAAATAGGTCATTTGGTGATTTATCTTAAAAACAAACAAAATGAACAAACAATAATATAGCCAGTCATCAATTCCAATTCATAGCAACTGTATAAAAACTAATAGAATTACTCCATAGAGCTTCCAAGACTGCAGCCTTTATAGAAGCTGACTACTGCATCTTTCTCCTGCAGAGTGCTGGTGGTTCCAGGTCATCCACCCTTCAGTTATGAGCCAAGCGTTTTAACCACTGTGCCACCACGGTTCACTGGATTTACCCTAACAAGGAGAATATTCTTCGTTCAAAAATTCCATCTGCTAACTCTTCATTTTTCACTCCTTTAAAATCTAGGCCAAATTCACAGACCTTACGTGATTGTAAATCTATATTCAATCTAAACTGTTTCTCCTTACAGCAATTCAGAGGATTATAATAAATCCATATCAGGTGATAAACACTGATCTGTTTCATCCACATAAACACTAATATCTAAGAGGGAAGTAGGAAGGAAGGTTAATTTCAAACATTTTACCACAAGTTAACCACCATGGGAGAGGAAAGGTTGGTAACAAATTTGTGCCAGTCAATTAATTTTTTAAAATTTATTTACAAGGCTAAGCAAATTTATATTAAGTATTTCACCCAAGGAGCTCAAATGCTCCATAGTCAATGTTCGATGACAAGTATTTTTATTCAAGTGCATAAAGTGACTGTGTCATGTCACGGGTTTCATGTCACACTACAAGTCTGTTGAAGAAGTAAAGTGCCTGTCTCAATTCAAAAGCTTTGCGTTCTTGTAAATGGAAAGTCAACATTTTGTGATCTATAATCATTTAAGTGAAATATAAAGAAATGAAATCAATCATTGTATGAGTCAACGGGCAATGCCAAAGCACGTTGGAAGGTCTCTAAAGTATTTAAATGCTGTTTAATCATTCAGAAGTTTTATTTCTGCTCCACTCTGCTTTACTATGAACGCATCCACGACATACCTAGGAAAGCTAAGCTGATTGGTTAGTCACACAGCAAGGAAAGCATGACCCTCAAAATCAAAATGTGACATTTTACACATTCCGAAAAAAATAATATCCCTTCATTTTTAATTCAGCATTTTCCTTGTACCCACAATTGTGTAGGAACAATTGCTGTCACTGGAGTTCACAATGTAGTTAAGATTCCAATTGCGATAACGATGCCTATGGCGTTGACGGAAAAATTATCTCATGGAGTGATGACGGATGGGTTCTGTATCTGAAAACATTCGAAAGAACTAGGGAAAAGTTAGATTTTAATACCAGATGTATAGAACAGAGGAAAGACATGTTTGAGTTTGATCGAGTGGGTGTACTTTCACCAAATTGTGCGACACCAATTTTGCTGCTGTTGTTCGGTCTCAAGGGGTTGATCTCGACTCACAGAAACACCATGCACAGCAGAACAAAACACTGTCAGCCCCTGCACCACCCTTTCAACTCCTGTTAGATTTAGAGCCAATCTTAGTTTTAAAACAAGCAAACACCAGATCTGTTGACATCCAGGCTATTTTCAAGGCAGAGGAGAACTATACCGTGTGGTTCCTCTGGCCATTGTCTTTAAGAGTCCGACTGGGGCATATTTTCCCCTTGCAATAGGTGAGGGTTTGCAATGCTCATGTCGCTGCTTCATCAGAACCTTAACCCATATAAATACAATCCTTGGTACTTTGGGCATGGGGACAGAAGAAGGATGAGAAAGATATGACTGCATTTTGACTTTGGGACACTAACCAACACTCAGCCTAAAGCCCAGAGGTTCTTAAGCTGAAGGTCACAGGACACATACCAAAGCTGGGATCTGTGAACTTGAACTGCAAAAACAAAGTGAAATAAAAACATCTGTATTTTCATTAACATTCTGATGGTTAGCATTCCCTTCAAATTTGCAGTAGGCCACAAAGCACATAGATCATAGCAGTGTATTTATTGTAATTAATAGAAATCAGGTGTTTTCATAATTTGTGATTTTGTTTCATAATTTTTTCAGAAGCTGAAAATAGCCATTAAACTCCTGTTTTGAAAAGGTGACTGTTAGTATGTACATTCCCGATGTCTCTTCATTAGTTATTTGGGTTTGGTGTTGTTTATTTTTTAGTGTAAATTAA